ATGCATGAATGCATGTATGCATGTATGCATGTATGCATGTATGCATGTATGTATGTATGCATGTATGTATGTATACTATGTATACTATGTATACTATGTATATTATATATGTACATATGCGTTTTTCTGCATAAGAGTATAAACTGGCTGAGCACTCACCTCAGCTAGAAACGACCAACAAAATAAGCCGACCACACAGCTAGTCTGCACTGAGAGGAAGAATTCCAATGCTGTCTATAGTATATAGACCCTTCTGGAATCCTCCCCTCGGTCCTCGGTCAGCACCGCAAAACTAAAATAACCAAGGACCCAGAGCCCTAAACATTCAACCTGGAAGAAGCCCACAAAAGCAGATCTCAATCCCATGAGCCCGAAAGCTCCCCATCGCGCCTCACCATTCTCCCAACACCATGCAACGACTGTGTCTCGATCTGCATCAGTCGTTCCCCAGAGATCGCGCCGGGGCCTTGGCATACCCCTGCGCTCTGCGCTTGGTTTCGTTGTGCGCTTTTGTGCTTTCGCCTTGCTACTAAAGCTTCATGTCACACCGATGCGGCAGTTGCATTTGTCTGCTGTACTACGACGACGACTGTACTATTGCTACGACCACTGCTACTGCTACCTGTTGCAACGGAAGTCATCATCGCGTTCTTCTTCTTGTTTTCAAAAGTTTGCATTGGTCTTGCTCTCCTTCCGCACGTTGCGAAACCCTAAAGCTTCTTTGCGTGGTTGTTTTTTGGGAATCCTCACCATTAAATGTCTATAGATACACCAAGCAGGTTCCCACGAAAGCCCCATACAACTCTACAAAGCCCTTGACCTCTGTAGGCCATAGCTGTTTCGGGTTCGGGTTCGGAGTTGTGGATTTCAGAACTGCGGAGCTGTGCTTTGCCTTTCACAGATCCGGGATCCAGCGCGCCTTAACACAGGCGCAACGACTCTGAAACGACGAGCAAGACCTCAACGAGTCAATGCGGCATGGTGGCAAGACCCTCTGCCGATAGCCCTGGAAGAGCCACCTTCAGGGGTGCATTTCGGAATCCACAAATGCACCGCAGTTGGACTTCCGAAGGCATTACAATGTGCAACCGGGGTAGCTTTTTTCATAGAAGTTGGATGTGTTGTCGCGTCCCAACTACTTGCAAGAACCGACGGCAAGTAAGGATTCCTATCAGTCGGGGTGCCGGAACAAAAAGGACGGAGTCATGACTTCAAGAAGCACGGGCCTTGGGTTTAAGGGTCCCGTCTTCGCAGACACACGATCTGAAGCTTGCATTTGTGGCCTCCCTTTGTCTCGATAAATAAACAGAAGCCCAAAACCCACCTGAGCCTAAACCCAGAACCCTAAACCCTCCCTTAAAGTTCTAAACCCTAAACCCTAAAGCCCGTAAGCCCTTAAAATTCTAAACCCTAAACCCTAAAGCCCTTAAATCCCTGAAAAAAAACCACCTGAGCCTAAAACCCTAAGCTCTTCGCCCGGTCACTATGCCAACCACAGCTTCTGCCCGGCTCAAGCGCCAGTTCCCTTTTTGGATGGTTTAGGGTTTAGGGTTTAGGGTTTTGGTGTTGGGTTCCCCTCCCCCCGAAGAACCCCAAAGCCCCTTCAAAGCCTCAGAAAACGATGCTCCTCCCATCTCCATCTGGCCCGGGGAACCATGGAGATCGTCCGCTCCTGGTCTAGCGGTGTTGTGTTGTGTTTTTAGTCGGGGCGGGGGGGCGGCGCCTTGCTGTTTCTGAGTGGCCGAGGAGAGTTTCACACGGTAATGCTATGGGTTTCATAAGGGTCTTGCACAGTTTAGCAAGCAGTTTGGTAGGCTTTGATAAAGAGCTTCATGGGTTGTATGAGGGCGTTTAGACGTTCTGAGGCTTCTTCTACTACAAGGATTTTTTGTCGGGTGCTACTTAAGGGCTTTGTTGCAGAAGCTCCGGCTCCCTTGGCGTCTGAACCTCCCAACAAAATCGAGGGGCTTACAGTTCAGGCCCGGGATGACCGCTGGGCTTCAAAGCTGCGCCCTGGACTTCGAGGTGAGGGCTTGACGTTTAGGCACATTTACAAGAAAGGTTGGGAGGGTGTAGAGTTTGACTTGGCACGTTGTCTTGAAGGTTTACGTTCTAGTGTTGAGTTCTTGCACGATGACTAGCAACGGCACAAAGTCACAAAGTTTAGTACTCTGAAGCTGGGCGCTGGCCTCAAGGACGTGGGTCTACGCTTTAGGGGTGCAGTCTGCGCCTGAACGGCACGCGACACGTCGAGTTTGAATGTGTTTTAGAGGGCTTTTTTTTAAACTGCACAGAGTCAGAGGGTTGCCGAAAGGCGACCCCCAAGGTTTAGAGTTTAGGGTTTAGGGTGGCTGATAGGTCGTGGTTTAGGGTTCAGGATTTGGGTTTAGGGCCAGCAAATCAGTAAGCGTGTCTGCGACAGCACACCTTGCTTCTGCATTGCGCAAAATCAACCGCAATTGCCGGAGGAAAACACATCTCAACGCAATTATAGACAGATACGAACAGGCTTGAATTCAAACCCTATACGCACCAAAGCCAAAGCCGCGAAACCCCTAACATCTATGCAGCCTCTATTCGACTCTGACCAAGCCCAAAACCCTAAACCTACTGTAGGAGCCTTAGTAGTCAGAGTAGGGTTGCGGGCCTCTTTATTATTATAGGAAATTAGAATGAGGAACCCTTAGGGTCTAAGGAATAATACTTGTCATTATTTGGGCTTCGACATTACACTGCCAAGCCCTCGAAAGCCAAAGGCCCTGAAACCCGGGACCCCAGCCTGAAACTACCGAGCAAATACAGCCAAACGCCCGGGAGTTCAATTAGGGTTTTAGGGTTTAAGGGTTTAGGGTTTAGGGGTTTAGGGGTTTTAGGGTTTAGGGTTTAGGGTTTTAGGGTTTAGGGTTTAGGGCCACAAACCCCCAAAAAACCCGTCAAGCCTCTGAGCCCTAAACCCTAAATCAGCACCGAAACCGGTACAGCCTCGAAGGCCTCAGCCCCCAAAAACCCAGGAAGCCTGGATACTCTAAGACCTAAACTCCAGAACCCTACACTAGAAACCCCAAGCCCTTAAAGTAAAGCCTCTATGCCCTGAACCCTTAAAGCCTCTTGGACAGCCTAAACCCTACCTTTAACCCCAAATAAAACTTACCTTTCCAAGGACTTATATAAAGATATCATGAAAAAAACCCTCAAAAGACGGTTAGGCCCTATTAAGGACTTGTAAGAAGAAATCATGATTAAAAAAACCTAAACACACAGGTTCTCTAGGATCCAGGTACACCCTAAGAAATTCTTTTATAAGAAACTTTTATAAGAAGCCCTAAAAAGATAGGTTCTGTTTAGGATCCAGGTAAACCCTAAACCCTAAAGTTCTTTA